GTGATCAAGAGATGATTGGGCCTGGCCTGCGAGGGGAGCCCGGTGCGGCCGGCGGAGGCTTCCGGAGATGGGCGGGGCCGCTCGCCAGGCCTGACCGGAAGTGGCCCCGAGCGATTTCCTGGAGCGAGCTGCAGTTCCGCTTGCTGTGAGTAAGGGGCGAGGTGCTCAAACTTTTGAGTCTCAGGCCCAGAATTGCCGGGTGAAATGAAGGAGGCCCAGTGAAATTTGAACAACGACTACTTTTTTAGTATGAGTGTATCCCACGCAGTAATGGTTGTTTATCTGAAATTCACATTTGTCTGGGCGCCCTGTATCACACATTGATTAACATTGGGTGATGATGTCATCGTATGTCCTGTACCTCTGAAGAGCATATCAGCGAGAGAGTGAGGGTGGAAAAGACAAATTAGTAGCTCTGGATTGTTGGGAAAGAGTTTCGACCCTGAGGACCCCCTGAAAGGGTCTTGGGACAAGGCAGTCCCAAGATCACACGGATCTAGGACTAGCACATTATGAGAAGCCAGATTGCCTCGTTTAATATCGTTAGTACAGGTGTCCCCGGGGAAAGAAGTGTCTCCTCTGCCTCGCTTGGTAGAGCGGTGGTGACATTCCCCTCTTCATGATTCTGGGTTTTCTAGACTTGGTATCCTTGGCGAACTATTCATGAGTATGTTGACGGGATGGGGAGGAAGACAAAATATGTGTTAAATGTTTATGATGTTACGAAATCTGAAGCATTTAGTGCATTGACACCTCTGGAACAAGATACTATCAGAATAGATGCCAGGCAGAGTTAGTTGTTGCCTCCTCTTGTCTGGCTTCCCGAAGTAGCTTCCCCACTGATCAAGTGCTCTTGTAGATGTCATGTGCAGTAGTGGAAAGAGATAGTGGTGCTGAGAGGAGAGCAGTGTTACAGAGTTTCTGTAGAAGTAGAACTGTCACTTTGGCGATGTCCCAGTTTCCGTGCTTTACGCAACTTGGCTGAGTACAGAAGCAATCCAGCCTGCTAATGAAAAGCAAGGGTTGCACGTACAACAGTTAACAACTGGATTTTAACAATTCCCAACACCTGAAAAGCATGTTATTTCTGATATCTTAGTTTTAATCTGAGGGTTAACTGGCAAGTGTTTGGTGTAAAAGAGCAGTATGTGTTTAGAAAAGCATAGTATCGGTTCCCAAAGAGTGCAGATTAGAATCAGAGAGTTTTATCATTCCTGAGATGTGTAAAACTGTTTCACCATAAAATGTATTAGTGTTTCCGCATTCCCATAGGGCCTAGTTATAACTTTCTTCTGCGTTTCAGCAAGGTAAGCTTCCCCCCCCCCCGACTTATACTAGAAAATGTTTTAGAATTGAAAATAAATCTTAATTTGGATATTCGACTTGCTGGGTTCTGTGTTTGAAATTGCTGTTTTAGAATCATAGAGATTGTGCATGTTGGATGCTAAATCTAGGTGGTGTGAACCCAGCCCAGGATGACCAACACCCCTGTGGCCCTTCCTTCCTCCCACTGAAGTACTCCCTGCAACCTTCCTGTGACCATCCTGGACTGTGCACCTGGTGCTCTGCATCCTCCTCTGCTAATTTGTGGGCATCGGGGACGCAATGAGAGATACTTTATGCACATTCATGTGCCTACTCAGGCCTGGCCACCACCCCCACTAGATCTTTGGCTAGCCACAGTGATCAAGAGATGATTCCTGATGCTGTGTCTCTCTCCATTGTTGAAATTCTGAAATATCCACAGAACAATGAAAAATACAGGAAAGGCAACTTATATGACAGTACTTCGAAAAGTTCATGGAAATAGGGAATTAAAAGATAATACAAATCTTTCCACAAACTTTCTGAAGACCGCTCAATATTATTAAATTTGGATATAGATCCAAGTTTGTCCAAGTCTTTCTAACGTTAAAGATGCCATTTGAGTTGTGAACTTTGAATGTTATTCAAATTGAACATTTCTCCCCCAGAGAATTATTATTGTGGGTATTATTAGATTTATTGTTTATAGCTTTGTCTTCTGTTAATGCTTATGTTACTCTTCTATTCAAAAAGCTTTGCCTCGGGCCGGCCCGGTGGTGCACTGGATAGTGCGCCGCTTGGGAAGCGCGGCGGCGCTCCCGCCCGAGGGTTCGGCTCCCACATACAGACCGGTTCCCGCTCACTGGCTGAGCGAGGCGCGGGAGCAACACTGAGGGTTGCGATCCCATTGCCAGTCCCGGTCCAGTACGGGCATGACACTGAGGGTTGCGATCCATTGCCGGTCACGAAAAAAGACAAAAAGGAAAAAAAAAAAAAAAAGCTTTGCCTCATTTACAACAAAATGGATGAAACTGGACGACGTTATGCTAAGTGAAATAAGCCAGGCATAGAAAGACAACTATTGCATGATCTCACTCGTGCGGAATTCAACAAAGTTGAACTCACAGTAATAGAGACCAGAATGGTGGTTACCAGAGGCTTGGGGGGAGAGGATGGGGAGCTGTTGATCAAAGGGTACAAAGTTTCAGATACACTGGAGGAATACGTTTTGAGATCTATTTGACAATAGGGTGACTATTGTCAAAAATAATGTATTGCATATTTCAGAATAACGGAGAGTAAATTTCAAATGTCTCACTTTAAAAAATGATAGGTAAGCTAAGTGATGGATATGTTGATTTCATCATTCCACATTGTATATTAAAACATCACATTGTACTCCATAAATATGTACTATTATGGCTTGTTAATTAAAAATATGAGTAATATTAATTTTTTTTTTTTGTCTTTTTTCGTGACCGGCAACGGGATCGCAACCCTCGGTGTTGCCCCCGCTCCTCGCTCAGCAGTGCGCCACCAGGCCGGCCCGAGTAATATTAATTTTTAAAATGCTTTGCTTCTCTTTAACTTAGCTAAGCCAAAAACTAAAACAAACAAAAAAAAAGCTTTGCCTATGAATAAAACTTCCCTTTTCACCAGGTCCTTTGCCTGCAGACCCCCAACCCCCCAGTGCACCTTCCCAGCCTCTTTAACCTCCATCACATGTGTTCTGTGCTGCCACACCTGGTCACAGTGCCTTTCCTTCTATTTGGGCTGTTGCCTCTGTCTGGAATGTCCTTCCCTCTCAGCAACTCTGTGGGACATCTTCCCAGGGTCACAGACCACCTGAAATGTGACTTCTCAATCCAACTCTCCACCCCACCAAAGACAGTGAAACGGTGTAAGGAAAACACAGGCTTTCATGTTGGACAGGCCTGCGTTTGAATTCCCAGCTTCTCTGCTTTCTTGCTGTGGACCTGGGGCAAGTGACTTGGCTTGTCTAGCCTCAGTTTTTCTCATGTGAAAAAGTGGAATGTAATCTCTTGGTTATGCCTAGAACATGTGGAGGGCACGTCGGACCACTGCTAGCAGGAAAGTGTGTTTACTAGCAGATCACACGTGTGTACAGGATGTGTAAAGCTTTTCTGCCATCACTGTGAGTAATATCCTGGGATGAGTTCGAGTGATCTAGTCTGTGGAGGCCACTCAGATGAGCTCCCAGTAGCTCTGGCTTTCTTCATAATCTCCACAGTTCTCTTGGTCATTTTCCTTTTTCTCTGCTCTCCCCGCTGGATTCATGCTTTATCCAGGAGGGGCTGTGAACATTGCGAGGGAGGAGACACAAACCTTTCTGTTGAATTATTGCATTATTACATTTTAAACAATCTGTGTACTCTGTAAAACTAGCCAAAAAATAAGAAAGTGAAAGGAGCTAAAGAGAAAAAAACTACCTTCTCCAACAGGTACTGTGATACTTATGCTGGGGTGTTGGAAATAATACTGTCAAGTGCCTGGAATGAGCTACGAAAAAAGAATAACTTTATATTCACAGATTCTCCTTTAGAAACATTATAAATGAGCTATGAAAAAAGAATAACTTAATATTCACAGATTCTCCTCTTCCTTTTGTGCATAAAGAGAAGGCTGTCTTTGACCAGAGTCCTCAGAATAAGTCAGGGGTCTTGGAAGAGGCAGAGAAATGAAAAACTGGAGGCCTGATTTACAGCGAAAAGCCAAGTGCATTATTCAGGAAGCATCAACAGTTAGTAGGAAGTGGAACCACCAAGGGCTGCGTTGGAGAGAGTTTGGGAACATTTTCGAAAAAGCAAATGGCAGTTGGGAGCATCTGTTGTACAATGTCATATGAGAAAGGCAAGGAGGAAGATAGAGACTGGGAAAGATAATTTCAAAGCGTTTGCTTCTGTGTAATGAGCCTAAGTCCCATTTGCCATTTTCCAAGAGTCCCAAAAAGATACTTATTGATTTTCAACTACCTCCTACTGACGCTGTGCTGGGATGGGCTCAGAGGGGTTCTCACTTTATCCAGGTCTATCATACTTACTGAATGTAATGTATCCTCCCTTGAAGTTCCACTATTGTACTGTCATGCATCACAGTCGGCCCTGTGTCTGTTTATTGCCCCTCAGAGTTTATAAACAGGCCCCCCGAAGGAAGGGAGTGTGTCTTAATGGTCTTTTGGTCCTGCTCCAGCTCCAGCTCCCAGTCTTCCAGTTAGTGAAAACTGCACAAAGCAGATGTTCAGACATTAGTGTGAAGTGAATGCACAGGTGATGGCTGGAGGGAATTGAACTTATTTAACGGGCGATTTCGTTAGCAACGTCAATGACAGCACTTTCTCGCCCACCAGCTGAGGGGCTCTGGGAGGGAGCACGTCTGTGCTGCTCCTCACTTTATCCCCAGCACTTGAACAAAGCCCAGCACACAATAAGCGTCGGAATAATCTTTGTATCCGCCGGAATATGTATTTCAGCACCTCAATAATGGAAGAAAGCAAAACGCCCTAAGGCCAGGCGGAGGGAGCTGCGTTGGCGAGGCTGCGGTACAGGAACGCGGCGTCCGCCTGCCCCTGGGTGGGGGATGAAGAACACGAGTGCCCAGGCCATCCCCCGACCCGCGGTGGGCGCCGCCGCCGCCG